TTTTCTATTTTATCCGATCGCGGCCGTGATGCCGCCGCAGAGGGCGGAGGAGGCGCCGCCTGCCACGGTGGGGCTGCGGCTGCTCTGCACGTGGCGACGCCTTTTGACTTTATTAAATTTATTTCGCTGTGCTGTTTTGTTTCTTTAATATTGTGTGTTATAGAAAGTGGGGCCGGGTCAACATCAAGTGGTGGGCCCACTGAGCAGACGCCTAGGTCAAAAGTCAAAACTATTAAGGTCTCTTTATTACTACCTCAGTTAAACCACATTAAATTTTTTTAAATAACAGTAGTTACGGATGTTATAAAATTATAATATATTAGTATTTTTTTTTATTTTTATGTTATTTTAAAGAATATGAGATTTTAAAATTATGTATTCCTTAAATAATAAATAAAAATATGCAAACAAATTATACCATCATATTTTTATTTATATTATTTTACTATTTTAATTTTAAAAGTATACCTATCTGTTATTCAAAAGATGTAACTGTTATTATGAAGAGGGGGTAATTATCTCTTTTTTTTGAAAAATAAAAATCATTTTAAGGAAATTTATTTCAAACGTATATATAGAAAAAATTTCCAAAAGAAATATCAACCGTTGAATTCAAAAAAATTCAAAAGGAAAATTGATCCCCACATTTCAAGATTTACCTAAAAAATTGATTACAAGGAAAAAGATTTGGAAATCTGGAAAGACGACAAAGTTAGGGTCGATATTCAATAAAGTTACATTTTTGGTACTAATAGTTATGTCAATCACTAATAATTTAATTAATACTATTAACAGTGAACCATAAGTCTTCGTACACGATTTGGCTTGCAAATCCATGTCGTAAAGTGGTTAGCCGATTTTTCCGGTTACTGAATTATCGTCTCGTTATGGAACTATTACGTTAAAATTTATATCGTTTGATCATCATGTAATCGAAAAGATAGTTGATTTAACGATTAGAAACCCTAACGGAATAGTTCCGCAGCTCTCTATTATTAGCATGCATAATAAAATGATACGCATATATATATATGTGCCTACGTCAAATGGACATGTAAAGATAATATCAGTCCTTAAAATTATTTCATTTTTTGATACTGTCACGCATATAATCTCTTTTTATATATATAAAATAAAAAGAGAAAAAGGAATAAAATTTGGATAAAATGGAATCTTACTGAGGAAACTGAAAAAAGACGCCGAATAAAAAAATATAAAAAATTTGGACTCACCTTGTCAACCTCAGAATTCGAATCCTCATTTTTGTAGTGTAAAGCGACCTCAAGGCAGTAGAGAACCGGCCCGGTCGACAGGGGAACACGGGCCGGATCGAACACCTGGCCCGGACCCAACGGCACGCTCGGCCACCCGTTAACTGGGTCGTTGCTGTTTACGAACACGAAACCTTCGACGTAATCGAACGAGTCGCCGGCGGCCCGAGTTATAAGAGACTCGGCGTCCCGTGCAAAATCGCTGAACTCGCCATACACTACTCGTATCCACCTCACCTATCAAAATAAGTAATCAAGAAATCTAAATAATTAATATAAAAAAGGTTGAATAATGCTTAAATAAAGATCGAATGCGGACCATATTCGGGGCGGGTTGGAGCAAGATCCGGGCTCGGGTGATGACTCCGAATTGACCGAGTCCACCCAGTACGCCGAAGAACAGCTCAGAGTTCCGATCCTCGGAGCACACCACAACGTCGCCGTTTCCGGTGACAACCTCCAGCTCCGTCACGTTTTCCGTCTGCGGGCCGTGGATGAAGGCCTGGCCGCTGACGCCGGCGTTCGACAGGGTGCCGCCGACCGTCAGCCCGAGGTAGTCCGTCCACGACCGCGGCGCGAGGCCGTGGCCCCGTACGCAGTGCCACAGCACGTCCTCCCATAGCGCGCCGCCGCTGACGTCCGCTACGGCGGCGGCAGGGTCCACATGGATCGCCGCCGGGCCGACGCTGCGCATGTCGAGGACCACGCCGCGGTGGGCCATGGCCTGGCCGTTGACGGAGTGGCCGTTGCCGCGGGCGGCCACAGTGAGGTGAGGCGACCGGGAGGCCAGCCGGAGGACCTTGGCGACGTCGTCGGTGTCTGCCGGACAGATGACGGCGAGCGGCTTCGAGGTGCGGAGGCCGCCGAAGTCCCTACCGGCGGCGGAGGGGGCGCTGCAGATGCGGAGGTTGACGGGGCCGCGGAGGTCGGCGGCGTCGAGGAGGGCGGGGACGCTCCCGTCGTCCTCGGCGGAGTCGGGCTCCGCCTTGGAGTCGACGACGTCGTTTTCTTGGATAAATCTCTCTATGTAGGCTATCATTGTTTGAATGTAATAGTCTTTAAGTGCAAATTTCGTGTAGGAAAGCGAATGAAATTTTGAAAGATGAATTGATCATTATTGGGATTTATATAGCAGCAAATTGAGGGATTACTATGTGGGAATTTTTCAATATTTATAAATGGAAAAGTATTTTTTGTTATTAAAAAAAGTTAAATTGCAAAATGGTTTGAACATCTCGTGCCCATAGTTTTTAATAAACTAGTGTGTACCCCGTGCGATGCACGGTAACAATATTACATTAACAATATTCTAAATATACCTCGAATTTGAGTCACTCAATGGCGGAAGTGGAAACTACTATTGATTCTATTTAAAAAGAGGAAGAAAAAAATATAAATTATATATTAAAGTGTCGGGGTCAGACAAGTAAAATTATTTTGTATAAGAGAATATAAATTTTATATTATTTTGTATAATAGAATATAAAATTTGTATGTTTAATATTAAAAACACTTAAAATATTATATTAGTATATGTAAAAGTATTCAAATTTTCTATATTATTTTTAAAAGATATAAAGTCACCTACAACTTTTCTAAACAATTTTAGAAAGAAAACATATCTAAAAACATTTGAATTTAACATTATGTAAAAAAAAAAATTCTAGACTATTTTGTAAAGAAAGTATGTCTGCAAATAATTAAATTTAACATCAATTATGTATATGTGTATATGTGTTATATAGACGAATAAGTAAAAAAAAAAACAAATGTCTAAACAATTTGTTTAAAATAACTAAATATTATAAGGCTAATTTAATAAACACCTTCGGTATATAATGTTTCAAAATTTCTGCCTAAAAGGAGTTTAAATAAAAAGGAAAACAAATCTAACACAATATCTATTATTTTGTTAACCTAAAAATAGGAAAAAGGGAAACATCACAAAACCACCGCATGTATTATTTTGTTAACCTAAAAAAATAGGAAAAAGAAAAACATCACAAAAATCAGTGCGCGCTTTTTTTTGTTAACACTATATCAATGTTTATTTAATGATTGTAGAGGGAAAATAATGATTTTAGCGGGTATTTAATGATTTTAGAGGGAAAATAATGATTTTGGCGGGTATTTAATGATTTTGGAGGGAAAATAATGATTTTGGCGAGAAATCATAAAAAAGGTTATTCTTTTAATATAATGATAGATTCCTCCCAAAATGGACCCAAAATCAACCGTCATGATCATTTAAACAATCGATAATTAATTTAATAAATTTTTATAAATATATATATATATATATATATATATATATTATTTTTATCATATAAATATACATAAAAGTTATAAAAAATAAACGTATTATATATTTTGTACATCAAAGTGTTAATAATATTGTATCTCATAATAAATGTTAACCACATATACACATTTTTTATTTTAAAATAAATGAATATATTTTTAAAAAAATTATAGGGGACGTGTCTACCCAGTTGACCCGGTCGGGTCAAAGCCCCGAGCCGACTGGGTTAACCGGCTCCATTGTTACCAGTCTGAATAACTTAATCGGACCGATTTCGGCTCCGAGTTGACTGAGTCCCGAGTCGACCTGTGGGCCTATCAAGGTTGAAAAACTATGATAAAAATTGTATTTCAATTGTGCATGATATTTAGGTTTCATTAATCTGGTTATTAGTTGCTATTAAACCAATAATTGACTTTATAGTGGAGTCAACCTTCTAGATACAACAAGTAACCATATTATATTAATAAAATTATTAGTGGTATTTAAGTAATAAGAGAACATGGTAAGTTTACTTGTTGTATATAAAAGGTTGGTCCACTATGGAGCCAACTGTTAGTTTCATAGCAAAACCGATAAAAGTATTATAATGTTTGTGAACTGCACAGGTGTTTGAGAAAATAATTAATTGTGCAACAAAGAATAAAAAAGAAATAAAGTTCTTATTGTGAAATAAAAATTCTAAATTTTTAATGATGAAGTAAAAGAATTTATAATATTATATTAAATTACAAAAAATATTTTGTATGAAACATTATTTATTTTATTTAAGATATATTCATTTTTTTTCAGAATTAAATAGAATAATTAATTTACTCTGCAATTTATATAACACACATGACCAACAAGGGTGCATTAAAATAAAAATAAAATATTTATATAAAAAATAAGCTAAGTAATTTAGAGTGCAATAATATAATGATAAAATACTAAGTATAAAACTAATAATTAAAAAATTAACAAAGTTAATTATTTAAAATAATACCTATGTTTTAAAATCAAGTTGTTTAAATGATATTTTTGTTTACATTACACACATACACACGCATATATAGTGGCACTCAACATGGTCTGCTCGAGTTTTTTGTGACTCGATAGTCTCTAGTGGCGGGCGGTGGAGGCACGGCGGAGGCGCGACAGCGGGCTGGTGAAGGCATACAGAGGAGGACTGAGATGGCATCGTGTGTGCATGTGTGTGTGTGTGTGTGTGTTGAGTGTCTGGGTACGTGTAGTGTTTATATTGTGTGTTTGTGTGTGAGATAGATATTAGGGTTCGTGGGTTGGGGTTGGACCCACTAGGTGAGTTGTTATTGTTGTAATGACCAATTAACCTGGTAAATGATATGTGTGTGTGTATGTGTATATATATATATATATATATATATAAAATATTTTAAGGACTTCAATTGTTTGCTAACATAACATGATTAATAAAGTAGATCGTTATTTGTGATTCTTAATTTTATATGTTTACTTTTTATTGCATGTTTGATCCTTCAAGAATTTGATGTGCAAATTACTCTGGACCAAATGATGAACCGGTGACGTCATGAACCACCTTCCAAATCAAGCTCCGATGACATGCAAAACACGCCAGGAGGGGTTCCAGCGATAAACCCTCTTACGCTCAAGGCACATTGACCATGAATAGTTAAGAACTTGAATATGTAAAATGCGATAATGTACATGGAATTTAGTAACCTCCTTTTATATGGAGGTTATCTTCTAGTCAACGCTTCTATAGCACTTGGAAAGGGATTATTCCTATGTCCAGATTCCCAATTAATCATGTCTCTTGGATCTCCTAATTTTCATCGTGATAGACTTATCTTATTATTAGGATTCAATTTTCTTAACTATCACGAAACTGCGAGTCCCTATCAAATCGACCTCCCGACTCTGTGTTATTGTACTCTGTCATGTCGCTCAAACGACCGCACGACCCGTCTCTGCTCGAGCTCCTGGATGAGAGGCAAGCCTGCGACATGTCTAGTTGTTGACCCTTATTGACTTGTTTCTTGAGCTGGATTACTGAGCTCCTCGACATAGTCAGGTTTTGTCCACGAGGAGCTAATAGGTATAACCGATCTACCCGAGTTAATACAAGTGCTATATCATCTAGCCACCTATTCTTGAACAAGCTGCCATAACTTGTTTAAGAATATCGTTCCATGCACTCTCAACAGTCTCAAACCCAATACTGATCCCTGCAAACCCTAACATTATGTTGTTTTTACATTTAATTACATGCGCCTTCAGTCGAGTTGCCTTCGGCCGAGCTGGAGGACCTTGTAAATAACTTCGACCCATCCAAACATCCTGCTCGGGTGGAGTAGTTCGCATGTAAGCCCCGAACCTTATTTATATATTTAGCTCGACTTTATTTTCCAGAAATAGTAAGTTCATAATTATGCGTATTTTAATTGTTATTAATCGCATAATTTATTAACTTCTAAGTTTGAGCCATTCAGAAAACCTTCGAACTTATATTTTGGAATCAAGATAAAAATTGTAAGTAAGTCGGAAACGAGATAAAAATAGTAAGTCTAAGTCTCGATTTATAATTTTAATCGAGTATTGGAAAAGTCATAAATTTATTTAATTTCCTAACTTTCGGGCCCATTTAAGTGGGCTATTTTTATTCCGGCCAACCGGCCCAATTATTTAAATTACCGAGCCCAACATTATTTATTTTGTCCATTTAACGGTATTTAGTTTCCCCAGCCAGAGTCGAATTTAATTTCGAGACCAAGTAGTATTTTAAATTAAATCCGAGTCCAAGTCGAGTAATATTTTGAGCCCAATTTTAAAAGCCCAAATTAGAGACAAACCCTAGTTATCCCCTTGCCTAATTGCCTATATATACGTGGACTTAGCTCATTTTCTACCACAAAAACCTTGTCCTCTCATCATCATCGTCTTATTCAAGAATCCTCAACCACAAAAAATATATAATTTAAAGTTTGACAAATTTTGAGAGTTGAAATTAAAAAAATAAAAAGAGATTATAAAACTAATATGGTAGGAATTTTTTAAAGGGTGTAAAGATAGAATTTAAAATTGTATTCCTAAATATATCAATGTGATGTCTAATTATAGATAATGAAAAAATATAATTTTTATAATTTATATTTTTTTTAAATATAAATTAACACCAACTATCATCCCTTAAAAATTATATACAAATATACTAAAAAATCTAGAGAATCAATCAGAATGGGACAAGTGTCCTATTCTCACCCCAAAATGGGTCGTCCAATTTGTGATTTTTTTTTTGTCGTTTATCTGGTGACCCAATTCACCGATAAATAGAGTAAGGGCGTGATTGAATATGATTTACGATTCAACTCAACTGTTATAATCGGGTGAGTCATTTAGAGCATGCTTGTTTATAAAGGTTTTTGGTTTTGATTGAGTTTTTTGTTTGAGTTGGTTAAATTTGAAAAAGTTGGTATGATTAATTGTTAGTGGGTATATTAAAATAATTAATAAAATAAAATAATTAAAATTAAATTGATGTAAAAGTAGGAGAGAGAATATGTAATGTGATAGTTAGTTAAAATTATGTGAGTACGTAGATGAATAGTAAATTAATGTTGATGTTGTATGTAAGAATGATTGATTGATATTATTTAATTATATTGATAATATTGATGATAGTGGGTTGATAGATCGATATTATTTAATTATATTGATGATAGTGGGTTGAATTAAAAAAAGTGGTTGAGTTAAAAATG